ACGATAGTGAGTAAGTTGGTAGGTGGATGGATAAGTAGGTAGGTAGGTAGGTAGGTAGGTAGGTAGGTAGGCATGTAGGCATGTAGGCATGTAGGTAATGTGATACAAATTTGAATGGAAGGAAGAAAGAGGAACGGAAGAAAAAAAGAAGGGAGAGAAGGGAAGAGTGTGAGATCGAATGGGAATTGGTTGAGGGAGCATGTGGAGGGCTGGATGGATGGTTGGATGGATGGTTGGATGGATGGCTAAAGTAAATGTGTAGGGAGGAAGAGGTGAAGGGGAAGAAGAGGAGGGGAGTGAGGGGAGGTGAGGGGAGGTGTGAAAATGTAGCTAGGAAGTAGCTACAAAGTAGGATCTTACCATACCATACAGTATGTACGTACACCGTCGTACTCTCTCATAAACATGTTCTCTCGGCTTGGTACCAGGATATCACATGGAGTACAGAGTAGGTGCAGCGAACGAAAAATGACAGGAATGAGCTCAGTGGTGTTTGTAATACATGGTCCCGCTATCATGTATCGACATTATCATTCTCATTGATATCATTGGTGCAATTACCTAGTGCTATTAGCATCACTAATGTCATACTGCATGGACAAACGAGAAGGTGGGTGAACACTGAACACTGGAAATGGCGGGGTTACACGGGATGGAAATGCATGTGGTGGAGAGGAGAAATGAATGATAGATGATAGGAATGGCTTTCCGATGGCTGGATAGGATGGCACCCCACCAATCCAACAATTGTGCTTGACTTCCTTCTCATCCCACCTTCTTTTTCTTTTGTTTCTTGACTTTTTCTTGTTCTTTCTGTTGGTGAAATTGAACTTGACTTTGAACTGTTTAAAAGGAAAGAAGTAAGACGTATACTTTACTTTGTTTACCTACGAAAGACTTCATATATCATCACATATATTACCTACCTTAATTCTCTTGATTATTCATTGAGATACACACACATACAACATATATATACACACATAAAACATAAGAATATCTTCATCAATCAAGATTTCCATACAAGAACATTACATCCAAATTGCAAAAATGGCTCCAGTTAGTTATCATTCCCTTTTTTACTCCTCCTATTCTCCTTATTATATATGAATATATACATGTGTATATACACATACAAATCTCTCCCCCCCCCCTTACCCCTTACCCCTCCAACTAACCCCCCACCCCACCAGATAACCACCCTCCTCTTCGACTGCGACAACACACTCGTGCTCTCTGAATCCCTCGCCTTCGAAGCCTGCGCCGATCTGGCCAACGAAATTCTCGAAGCCCGTGGTATCAGCGACCGGTACACGGGTCCCCAACTCCTCTCTGAATTCGTAGGACAGAATTTCCGCGGTATGATCAGTAGTCTCAAAAGCAAATACAACTATTCCATGACCGATGCGGAACTCGAGGGGTACGTCAGCAAAGAAGAAGATAAAGTGATTGCGAAGCTGCAGGCGGCATTGCAGCCCTGCGAGGGAGTCGATGAGGAGTTGGTGCGATTGGAAAAAGAAGGGGGGTATTTAATGGCGGTTGTGAGTTCGAGTGCGTTGCGCAGATTGAAAGCGAGTGTGGAAAAGACCAATCAGGCAAAGTTTTTCGGAGATCGCATCTATAGTGCTGCGACATCGTTGGAGAAACCAACGAGTAAACCGGATCCGGCGGTGTATTTGCATGCGATGGAGAAACTGGGGGTGAAACCTACAGAGTGTGTGGCGATTGAGGATAGTAGGAGTGGTGCGACGGCGGCGGTGAGGGCGGGCATTTTGACGGTGGGGTATGTAGGGAGTTATGAGGTGGGAGAGAGGGAGGAGATGGAGGAGGTTTTGAGGAAGGCGGGGTGTAAGGTTTTGATGAGGGAGTGGAGGGAGTTTAAGGGGATTTTGGAGAAGATTCAGGAGGGCGGGTTGGAGAATTAGAGGGGTGGGAGAGGATACTTGGGATTGATGGTGGGAATACCTAGTAGGCTTTGAAGTGTTAGATGAAAGAAGAGGAGAGAAAGAGAAAGATGACAGATGAGATTAGTATTTCTATACACCCAAAATTTCTTTAGAGAGAAGAAAGTATTACTCAAGGCTATTGAAAGACAAAAAAAGAGATTGAGAATAGGAGATGAGATTAGTTTATCAATAACATGGATATCAATCATCTATATCATTACATTACCTTTACCTCTTTTGACTTTTTGGTCTGAAAGTGGTAATCTCCTTTACTTTCCATCTATTTGCTTTCTTCTTTTCTCTTTTCTCTTTTTCATTCCTATTTACTTTCTTCCTTCCTTCCTTTCTTTTCCATTCCTCTTCTTACTTCCTTTTATTCTCCCTTCTCTTTTCCATTCCTATCTTCCCACTTACTTCTCAACAATTCTTAGAATTCTCAATTCCATAAATCCATCTATAGTCATTAATAAAGACGCTCATTTATAGTCGTATATTAGCATTTCGACATATCGATTAACATGGTTTATTAGTGAATAGATTATATTAATAAACGAGTCACCTCATTTTATATATAAAATTCGTTTGTATATAATTGTACATTTTTTTATATAATAATATAATTTAAAGAAATCTGAAAATATTGAAATTTAATTATATAAATATTATAAAAATCTAATTATTTAATATAAAATTAAATTATTATAATAGTTATTATAAAAATAACTTTTTTGTAATGAAAATCGTAACAATTTCTACTTTTTTTTAGAATATAATAGAAATATTTATAAAAAAATTAGATTTATAAAAAGCTAATTTTTTATTGTTATTGAAAATTCTTTTCTTTTTTCAAAATAATAATTAATTATTAAAATAAGGATATTGAAAAAGGTCTAATTTTGATGTATTTTCAAGTAACTCGTTTACTAATATAACCTGCTCACTAATAAACCATATTATTCATATTCATATTATTATTATATTTATAATAAACACTAGAAATAGTACTTTTTATATATTAATAGTAAAAATATTATAATTAATCTTTCTTTCTTTCTTTCAAACTAATACTTTTGATATTTTTATTTTAAATATACTTTTCAAAAAAAAAAAAAAAAAAAGACATTTGTGTTTTAAAATTCCACTTCTTAATAAATCTTATTTTAATATGAAAAATAAAGAAAATACTATTCTAACCTCGATTAAAAAGAGTAATATTTTAATTTCAAAATAGAAAATCTAGATTTATCTTATAGTTCTATATTTTATAGTAAATTTTTATTTAATTTATTATTAATTTTTTTATAGAGGAAATATATATAAATTAAAACTTATTTTTATTAACAAATTACGTAATAAATTAAAAAATCTTATATAATATTAGTTATACTTTATTAATTTTATTAATCTATTCAATATAGAAATGTTTTTTTAATAAAAAAATAAAATTGATTTAAAAACAAATCTAGAATAGTATAACTTTTGATCTCAAGATCAAAATAAGAAAAAATGATTTAGAATAAAAGTATCATTTTTTAAAAAAGTATTTAGAATTAAATTGTTAAAAGTATGAGTTTTAGAAAAGAAAATATTAGTTTTAACATTTTCGATATTAATATATAAAAAAGTATCATTCTAGTATTTATCGTTTTTATATTCATATTCATGTTCATATCATTATCATTTTTATATTAATTAATCGTTAATTATTAAGATATAGGGTCGATATTATATTTAACTTGAGTGTTATAAGTTATTTAGATTATATATCTAGATGTTGAAGAGATATTGAAGGGATGTTGAAGAAATGTTGAAAAGATGTTGGAGAAATGTTGGAGAGATGTTGGAGAGATGTTGGAGAGATGTTGGAGAGATATTTATTTATAGTTTGGAGATAGATGGGTAGGTAGATAGATAGGTATCTGATTAGCTCTGAAAGACTACAGATAGGGATCGAGGATGGAGGATGGGAATGGGGATAAGAAAAGGGAGGATGAGGATGAGGAAGATATGGGTTAGAGGGGGGGTGAGGGATAGATGATTTGGGGTGATAAGGACGGGTTGGGTAGATGATTGGGTAGATAGATATCTGATTAGCTCTGAAGAGCTGGGGATGGGGGATGTGGGAGAAGGGAATGGGAGAGTTGGGGATTGGAAAAGGGATGAGGGATAGGGAGTAGATGAGATGATTTGGGATGAGGATTAGATGATTTGGGATGAAGTGTTGGGAAGAGATGGAATGAGATGATTTGGGAGGGAGTGTTGGAGGGAGGGTGGGAAAGAGAGGGAAGAAGGAAAGAGAGGAAAGAGGAAAAAAGCGCAAAGAAACCTTTTAGTTGTTTGATAGAGTAATGATGTGGATTCGTTGCTTGTACGATTATGTGATTATGCGAGTGGAAAGTGGTTGGCAGAAGGGAAGAGGAGAGGGTAAGGTATGAAAAGTATTGAGATAAGCCGAATTGAAGATTATACAAAGGAAAAGTATACTTTTGTAGAGAAGGTAGAGAGGATGAGATGGAGATGTGCAGCTGAGAGGGTGTAAAGAGTAAAGAGGTTTCCAAGAAAGTAGACAGGTGAGATTGGGGTTTGTTGATGTAGGGAAGAATGAGGAAGAGCATAGGGTTAAACATGGTTAGGATGCATGCATTCAAGGTATAATTGTTTTCACTGTTGAACAAGTACGAATTATACTATGATTTTAAACTTTTTTTGTATTTTGCTATCTTGATCTTTTGATGTGTTTTCATGTACTAACCAAAACCAAAACTAAACCCGCTATTCCTGGAACGCCACTTCCTGGAACACCACTTCAGCACACAACTTCAGCAGTAGGTGTCAGACAATTAAACTAGCAAAGAAAACAAAAACGATACACCTGGGTCCAAACTCCTTCCAGCCTAAAAAACAGAAAAGAAAGATATGACCCTATAACCGCAACCCAATGCATCCCACAAGCACCATCCTGCAAAACCCATCCCAATAGAACACCCCTCCATAACACCTGGGTATCAAACTATAAAACCGCACACCGGACTCCACCAATCCCCTCCGCACGACCTAAACACCTCTACTCGCGCGCAACTCCGCAATCTCCTTCTTCAATGCCTCATTTTGTAATGTGAGGACTTCCTTTTGAAGTCTAGCAACCTCTGCCTTCAAAGCCGCAACTTCATCCACGTTATTGCCATTGTCATTATTTGCAGCCTCTGCATCTGCTTCCTCATCTCGCTCAGTGAGCTTCAAGATTTCTTCACCATGAAGATCGGATCGCTCAGTTACATCAACCACCAACTTGATCAAGTCTTCGAAACGAGATTGGTTTTCAGAAACTTCTGCTTTGAGTGTGTTGAGTTCGTTGCGCAGTTGTGTGGTTTGATCGGATTGGGCTAGGACTTCTTGTTTTAGTGCTTCGACGTCAGTAGATAGGGTTGAAATTTGTGTCTTGTGGTGAATGTTTTGGGGTTTCAAATCGTTGAAATCCATGCGGTATTGGTGTAATTCTTCATGAACTTCATCTAATTCTACCCCGAGATTGCTTACTCTTTCTCGGAGGGTTGAGAACTGGTTACTATTGTTATCGTCATTGTTGTTATTGGAGTGATGAGAGACAACTAATTCATTGTCGAAATTATCAGGGGCCTCAATGGATAGTCGAGGAGTCTCTTCTGCAAGAGTAACGGAATCTGTTTCTTGTCTGTTGGTTGGATGCTCCTCTTGGGAAGATTCGATGGGAGGATTTTCAATTGAGTCTTGATTCTCAGCATTTTGAATAGAGCCCTCTGATATATCAGGAGAAGGAGAATACAGATCAACAGTATCTGAATCAGCAGAGCCATTGCGGGCCTCGAGGGAGTGGAAGACTTCAGCACGAATTGAACGTTGTGGTGATGGACTGATAAGATCGACATAGTTATGAACATTGTGTAAGGGCTCCATGGGATAATCATGGCTCGAAGTGTCTGATGAGACCTGTGGATATTGAACAGAGCTTAGACCACTGAATAGAGAACCAAAGCTTGGAAGTTGTGGTGAGGTTTGTGCGGCAGAGGAATCATACGACATTCTATTGCGATGCACTTGTTCGACAGCAACAGCGGAATTGGGTGAAGCTGCGCTACGAGCAGGAGCAAAGATAGACTTCTGTTGAATTACAAAACCAGGTTCGCCTGAATAATTGGGTCCATAGGCCGTCTCAGTAGTAGTGTATTCAATCTCACATGGGAATGTTGCTTGAGGTCTGTTATATTCATCGGCAGCAAGTCCTCTTGGTGTTAAAGGTGCTGCTGCATAAACCATTCCAGCAAAATTGTTCGAGTTTGCGGGAGTTCTAGAGTTGTTCATCTCGACATCTTCTCCGGCAGGAGTAATGCTGTGGTTGCTAACGGCGTAGGACCTATTGCGAGCATTTTGATCTGCTGCTCTAGCAGTGGCCTCATTGTAAAGTCCAAACATCTGGGTTGCACTATTCTCTTGTCGCTTAGAAGGTGGTGCGAAGGAATCGTCATCTTGTTCGAATGGTCGCTTTCTGCTAGAAACCTTTGAATGTGTCCATGAATAATTTGAATTGTCCATGCTTCCCAGAGATCGGTAGAAATCATTGGCAGCGCTTGGAAGCATAGGTTGTGGTTGCACTGCAAAAGAATCTTGTGATCCGGCCCTATAAGAAGTAAAGTTTTCTCGATAAGTCATTCCCGGAGATTGATAATCGGGGAGCGAAGAAGGGCCCGGTGCTGGGCTTTGGGGCTGGGGTTGACAATGAGCATAAAGAGCATTCGAGGGACCGGTAGAGCCTGAGTTATAGTTCGGGCTTCTGGGCGCAAATTCCGGAGAGCGTGGATTGATAGAGCCCGCAGGAGTAAAGGCTGGGCTTACAGGAGTAAATTCAGGAGATGAGCTCAATTGGCGTTCAGTAATTGGTCGTGCCATAGCTGTAAGTGGTTTTCTCGAGGCATGAGGTGGTAACCATGGCCAAGAGCGACCTGTTGCCTTTCTGCGAGACATTCTAGGATGTGCAGCAGTATACTAAACACTATTAGCTTTGATTTTTTGAGGAGAGGAGGTAGATGAACTTACCTTGGTCTCAGAGACATTTTCTGATTCATCTTCAGAGCTGTCTCTCCCACCAAGGATTGGGCTTCTGGCTGGAAAGTGGTTTCTCGCATATGCGAAGTTTCTTTGGCCAAGGACTGGGCTGGAGACTTTTTGATTTGTGTATGACATTTTAGCTGTAGCTAAAGATGACAAGTGATTTGTGGGTGTGGGTGATCGCTTCGTAGCTATTTTGTATGATACGAACTGACGTATGCAAATCTGAGCAGGCAATGATTAGCTTTGCAATGTGTGCATGCAAATAGAGAATTGGCCTTGAAAGATATATGGGAGGTTTGGTGTTGGATAGCAAGGAGGAAGTGTGCTAAGAAAGAAGGATAATACTTACAAGTGAACCTGAGTGCCTTTTAAAGAACTCTGGTTATTGTGGTATTCGGAAGAGGTTGTAGTAGATATCCTGAACTTAGGAACTTTCAAAGAACTTTGGTTATGATGATATCTAGAAAGTGGTTGTAGTAGATGATGTTCGAGGTTGTTGTGTATGAGAGAGGTTATTGTTGAATCTCCGTCAAGAAAGTTGTCAAAAGGTTGAAGAAGTTGAAGAAATTTTTCACGAGTTGAAAAGGTGAAAAGTAGTGAAGGATGATCTTGATAAGTAAACTCAAAACTCGTCTACTAGTACTACAGGTAGCGTTGAGTGTCAAATTTCCCAATTCACTTGGCCGAATTTGGAAAATTGGATAAGTTGAAGGTAGAAATGAATTGATAGAAATGTAAGGTTTGGTAGTAGAATGTTGGAAGTTGGGTAATAAGTTGGGTAGGTTTGGATGTTGAGTAATGTTCGTATGTGAAGTGTTACTACTGAAAGTCTTATTACTATGTATTTTTTTTAGAAACCAGTGTGCGAGTTGGAAAGCTATATAGGAAATTGCATAATCGCAATACAGTCAAAAGCCGCTAGTGTTCGCTAGAGGTACTGGTCGGCCGTAGGTACTTGTGGTCCAGAAATGATATTCATCATGTTACGGTGAATGGCACAGCGAATGGTATGGTTCGTGTATTGGCGGGACTTGCTTGGTTGGTCGAAGACCGTACATGTAGCGAGATGATTGGGGAATATACCCTTCTTAGAAGAGAATGGTCATTGGACTATACATCTTCGCCATGAGAGAATGAAAGAGACGATGTCCTTCCTGCGCACATGGACAAATAATATGGGCTTCTGTGCCATAAAGAGTTATCCTCTGGTCATTCGTTTTGTCTGGATCATGCTCAGGACTTTGTAAGCTGTTGTTCATTATGGAATCATGAATTCACCTCAGTTATCCACCCACAGTACCAATTACCATCCAAGACTGAGAATATATATGGGAAACCCAAGATCCAAGAAGATATATCGCCGTATTGATCGTGGATTCGAACAAGCCCCTCTCTCGAGCCTCTACAGCTGAAATGGTAGATTAAAATCAATGCATCATCATTTCAACTTCAGTCTTGAATCTTGAATCTTGAATCTTGAATCTTGAATCTTGAATCTTGAATAAACATGGCCAAATTCTCTGGCGCAGTAAAGAGATTCAATAGAGAGAGAATTTACTCAAAAGTGATCTAGGAAATATACTTGTATATATCATCAGAACATAAATACTGCAACCACCCGTCGAACCTATGTCGTTACAATGTGGATATGTGGCTTTTTCTGTCCAGGATGTGAATCGCAAGATAGATTCCCGTCATCCAATGATATATCTTTCATGTGACTTTCAAATATCTGTTGCACATCTTAAGAAGCAGGGTGCTTACTTTCGAATTTACCTGTCAATTTTGTGATTCATCCAGTTTTATTTCCAAATGTGCTCCAAATCGGTTAAAATTGATGATTATATACATATTGCTACTTTTTCCCTTCCTCTTCGTCTGGAAAACCCATTCAAACTCCATTTCTATCTCTATAAACTTTTCTCCCATTTCCAGGATTTCCTCTCCCTGCATGACAGTTTCTGTCTATCTCCAAGATTTGATACTCCCGCCTCTTTGTGGTGTCTTTCCTCGTTAATTGTCTTGAGTCGCTTGATCTCTTTTGCCCTGCATATTGAATTAGTCATTGCTCGAATTATTAATCATATACATCCATTCTTCGATTCAAACCAGAGATACAAGAAATTCGCATATACTTACATCCCATTATTAACATATAGCAATCCGGAAACAAATGTCGCCCATGGGATACTAACTCAAGTCTTCTCCATCAATTTACCGAATTTGAGAAAAGCTGTAGGCATTTTCATAATGTTTTCGCAGGTGATGACGATACAATGCTATTTTTCTCTTGGATCTTTCGTTGATATTTCAATTCTCGTGAACTTTTGACAGAGGAGTCGAGTGAGTCAGATGGATACAAGATCACCAGTAAATCACAAAGAAACCATCACGAGGTAATACAGACAGCGAGAAATATCTAGAGGTCAAAAATGAACCACCTGCAATATTGACGACTCCCAAGAAGCCGCTGAATCTACTGCTATGAATATACTTGAGCGTCATTGAGAATATTATGATGATTGATAACACCCGATCTATAGAATTGAGATATGGGTATGGAGAATTGTAAGGGTGCGTTCGGATCAATTGTTTTGAATTATTTTGAATTATTAGACTCTAAATTATTTGTACATTTGGCAAATAGTATTAAATAAGATCAAATAATAAAGTTTACCAAACACTTGAGATTATCAAACAAAGTATTAGAAATTATTTCCTAAATAAATATATTTATTATTGAACACTTGAAATTATCAAATAATTATTAGAATTTTTAATAATTTAAATAATTTAAAATGACAAATGTTTTCAAAATCTTTATATCTTTACTTAATAATTTCTAGTACAGCTCTTTGATAAGTTATATTTGAAAGATTATTTAATGAATCTTTAATAAATCTTTATTTTTATTCATCCCTACTACTTTTCATTCACTTCTGTTACTTTTCAATATCACTCAAATATATTAGCCCGAATACCCTTACTATTTTAATATCATTAGAGATTTCATTAAACAAATGAAAAATCGACTCGAACGCGCCCTAAGTGTGAGAGTGTGCAGATGTATGTGGGATAATGTAGAGGGAAAAATTCCCGATTATGACGAGGACATCTAGTAGTATCTCAGGAGCCGGACTTCTTTTAGCACATTGAATGAAAGCACTTGTTTTTGCTAACTTGAAAGTTACCAGGTGACTTGAAGATCAATGCTTGGCACTGCTTGAATTACAGTTTATCGTTTTATCTTGACGTTTCCATCAGTCTGGATTTTGATAATTCAAGACAGAATATCCAGATTGATTCATTTTCGGGACTTCCTGTCTTATGGGCTTATTCTACATCTACCGTGTATTTCATCTTCAAGTTTCAGTGCGTTGGTAGTGGCAGTGAAGATTGGGATGTTTGGTTGGCCCAGAAATGTATCATTGCGCATTCAACGTCATGAATCAATTACAAAAACCAGAACTTCATGGTTATCTAGACTGCAGGTGGCTGCAGGTAGGCTCCAGATTATAAGTGGCACAATGTGCGTAAGATTCGATGAATCACCGACTTATACAATTCGCATCGTTTATCTCATTTCCCTGCGTTCTTACGAATTTCCGGAATAGCAAGGTCGGTTGTTGAACACAGAGTTTCAAACTAACTACTTGACTGCTAGATTTTTAGGATGTCATCCACTCGTTATTCATGCCATGTAGAACATGATTATCCAGACAATACCTCAGAATTGATATCCTCGGGAGTTAGTCTCAAAGGGAGAAAATCGAGCATAAGCTCATTGAAGGGTCTCCATTGAGGAATTATCTCTATCGCAAGCACATTACCACCCTTACTCAAATTCAAGAATACCAGTCCTGCTATCGTATTGAATGACTATGGGTTTACTCATTAAGGGGAAAATCTTCAAAAAAGCCTAGGAAACTCGGCTGTATTTTCAACCAATTGAATGTATCGCAATCCAGAAGGACAGAGATTCTTATACATACCAGATTGTAATTCCTTCAAATATACTCAGACAATATCACTATTTTTATGATATCAAGTGCCTCTACTTACTATACCTAGATCTATAATATCTTCTCTATTTGTATATACATAGAACAGCCCGGGTGATTGAGGAGGTTGATCCTGACGCGGATGAGCAGAGAAGTATGAGAGTAACTCATTTCTAACACTTGGAAAAATCTGATTATCATTACAAAATTGAGAGATGGGTCCATACATGTATATGATGATACTCAAACTTTCTCCAAGTACCTCATACTAGTATTCTGAATGCAAAAGTCTAATAATCTTGATGACAGCAATACTTTCAAGGCCTGAGAGTATTATATTTATACTCCAAAGTCCACGTGAGGTTAACCACCTCGCCTAAACTTACTCTACCAGTGAAGCTTTCCCTACCCCACCACTTGGTCATGACCCAACCACATATTTTCTGGCTCCCTTCCACTACACTTTACAGTATATATTCCATAAAAACCTCCGCTTCCCCATCAATTAACCAGGTCGCTTAGCTCAGTTGGTTAGAGCGTGGTGCTAATATCTACCGTTCATTCAGATAGGTTTGGCACGCCAAGGTCGGCGGTTCGAAACCGCCAGTGATCATTAACTTTTTGCCATTTCGTCGCACATCAAAAATCATTTGAAATGGTTGAATGATGAGGGGAATACGAAGGATTCGAGTTTTTGATAAGGGAGGGGGTGGAACGGGTGGTACGCCGATGTGGAAAACTAGTGGGGGAAGCGCCGCTTTTGTAGAATATGAGATTCGTGAGTGAGGATGAATATGATATCGAATAGTGAGTGGTATGGTAACAACTGACTGAAATTGAGAATTCGACTTTTTTTTCCCTACAAATTTGATATGATGATGTTACTATGCTATTGAGGTGAAATCTCCCTCTCTTTGATTCCTTACAACGTAATATTCTGATTTTGGAAGCAGACGATAGATTGATTATGCTATGAGCTGAGAAAGAAGAGAAGGAAAAATATTGAAGTTCAAAGCAGCACGGATTAATTGCGATGGCTGTACGAAGTAACAACATGAAGCTATATTAACTGGCAACATTGTGTTTTGATATAACATGAACCTCCATAACTGATATCCAAGTGAAACCTGT